TTACTTGATAAGTTACTGCTTATATTTCAATTTTACAAACCTTTTTTCAGACCTTGTTGTTATGACAATATCAACAGTAACTAGAGATACTGTTGAATACATGCAATGCTATGCTACTCCTGTAAAGTATGCGTCGTATTGTCTATACACAGTGGTGTATGTTGTTGCATGGATTGAAGTGCGAAAATAAGTTTTGAGGAAGTTGATACTAACTAACTGTTTGTACGTTTTGTTTCAAGAAGTACCAGTTTTCATGATCAGATGTCATACCTGTTATTTTATGTTATTATTTCATATCCTTTTTTATATGTACGCATGTGTGAAAGAGTGTGTTAGTGGGACTCATGTTTCTCTACACACTGTATGTGTACAATCTGTGTGCTTTGCCTCCTGATGTACTGTATATATATATAGCTATAGCTGCTGTAAGTAGAATTGAAAATTCATTTTGCATAGCTGCATTTCTCTGCTCTGTCTTCATGTGTTCCCTTCCTCTTCTACATTTTTTAACCACACGCCTTTAGACTCATTTATTCATGGTCTCACTTTTTCTGTCAAACCCGGCAAACTCAAGATAGCAACAGAAATGAGACTGTGGATTTCAGCTCTTTCAGTCTTTCTCTCACTTGCTTGCTCACACTCTGTCTGACCCCTTCCTCTCACCCCCTCCACTGCCTACATTGTCATTATAGTCAATCTCACATAGTTAGAAGAAGTTGATGCTTGCATGTTGTCAGCTCTGTAACAGCTACAAACTTCAACTTCTAACATACCCCTTCAAATCCTAACCCTGTATAATGATAGAGGATAATTATGTCATCTAAAGTGCAACATTTCAAATTATGTGTAGTTATTAATTATCCCAGAAATTATACACCATTTAAAAATATCATATATTTTAATGTGGCACGGTCCAGTAGTCAGCCCAGTCCATACCATGATTCAGATAGGGTTTATGGAAATTATCGGGGGCAGGAGCACCAAAAGAATTCAGTAGGCTGGAGAAACAACTGCAGCATGTAGTGCTGAATATCCAAGGCTTGTGGGACAAAGCAGTTAAACCACACATGGCAGAACTGCTGGCCTAATAAGCAGCCTACCTGCCCCTGAGTATCCTTACCTGCTCTGCTTTCCTTCTCTTATTCTGTCGGGCCTTTCCCTCTTTCACTCCATCCATCTCTACCCCCACCCTCTTCCTCACTGTCATTCGTCTTGCTGCATTGCGAACCCCAGCAGCTGGTTGAGAGTCCCAACAGAGCTGTTTCAGCTGAACTCTGCAAGACACACATTTGTCAGGTTTGTTTTTTTAATACTACTGTATGTGCACTTAAGGGTGTGTGTCTGAAGGTGTATATATATATATATATGTTTGCTTTAGCCCTGTGTCCATTTACCTATGAGGAGTGTGTTGCAGATTTCCCAACCGCCGCCTTCCTCTTTGCCACCTACCCTCATCCCTTTAATACTGCACTTCCCGTCTCTCCATTATACACCATTACAGAAAGTAATGTAAATAGCTTTCCCTCTCTGAATAGCATTGACAAAACTGTGTTCATATTTAATTAAAGCACGTAGTCAAACCAAGCCTTTTGTCCATAACTGTGTGTTGCCATCTGAATGAGGCAGGTAGACATGAATAGAATTGTAAATGGCTTCTTTGAAAAGGGGGAAAGGGGCCAGTCCTCTAACAAATTGCACATAAACAAATAGCCACAGGCCATTGGTTGAGGGACTGCCAACATCTTTGAGAAGTGACGGAGAAAGAGAGCAAGAGGGAGGGAGAGAGAAAGGAGACTTTAGGAAGGGTGCATTCCTTTCCACATAAATGGGTTTTATTTGGCTACCTCGGCTTGGATCATATCTATTTCCTCCTTTTCATCTTTCCCACCACCTCTCCCTCTTGTTCTCATCACTCCTTCAGCACAAAAGTACTCAGGACTCAAGCAGCTATGACTCTCTGACACATACGATATGAGACACAGAGGCCAGCATGCAAAGTATGAGTGATGAAATTAACATTGAAACACTGAAAATATGTCAACAGACGGAAGAGAGAGAGAGAGATAGCAAGATGGTAATACATTCACTGACATTTCCTTGTAATTGTTGCAGGATCAGGTTTTGGCTAAGCTACCGTCAGCTTTTGCCAGGAGCTGCTGAGTCATGAAGTGGTGAAACCTGAGCTAACAACATATAAACAGACATTCACCCAGAAAGTGTGAGATTACACCATCATTATATTGGAAACACAAGATAGTTAAATTGACATTATACATGTAGATAAATCTAATGGTTGGGTGAAACATAGTGTGAAGAAAGACATTCAGAAGGTGAGAGAAATAAAAAATAAGTGCACCAAAGTAGCATGGAGAAGAAAGAGAAAAAAACATACAGAAGCTGTCATCAGTCTCTTGTTATTTCAAGTAGCATGGAGAGCAGAGGGGATTTGAAATGATGGCAGTAGAGTTGTGTGATTTATGTTTCCACAGCATGGGTAACAGGTCCTTCAAATGTAAGTAGGACAACAGCAATAGGGGAGTGAGGGAAATTCTCAGATGACAATATTTAGAGAGAGTGGATCGTAATACTAGCTTGTTCAGTCAGGCAAAACAATGCAGAAATATAGCAATTATAACTGGGAAATGATTTGCAGTGAAATTTAACCATGTTTGTGATACATTCTTTATAGCATTTATAAACAAACACACGGAATAAAGCGGAAAAAACAAACAAAAATCTAATAGATTCAGACTAACTAATATAGAACATGGTTTCCGCACCCACACAAAAAAGATAATATGCAGGATGCTACTTGCGACAACTCTAAATTCAAGGTTAAGGATTTAATGTTCACAACATTTATAAACATGCACTGATATACCACATTTACACATTGACAGTAAAACACAATCTGAATAATAATCTGAATTCATTAGCCCCTTCTAGACAAAATATAAGGAGCACAAGAAGTCCATGTGAGATTTAGAATTGCTACTGGTCTGTTTATTTTATCCACAGCTTGTATTGCTTTGTGCAACGCAACTGAAACCAGGTCATCTCGTTGTCCTTGTGAAAAATGGATAGCTTCACAGAAACGCAGATATGCTGGTAGTTAAAACAGCTGTTGTCAGTCTGGAATTAGTGTACAGCGCTCTATCTGCTGTAATATCAGCGTAATGTTCATATGGTCCTCATTTAAGTTGTGGCCTGGGGGGGTGTAAATTTGGTTGAGATTATGATCTTATAATGGTAGAGCCTATACAGTAAACTCCAGCCACATGCAGCTTTTCACTAGGCTAACAAGATAGACCGTGTTTAAAACAAGTTTTAATACAGAATGGCTTCGCTTGGAACTGTAAAGATTGACACCACCAATCATGATATTTTTGGAGCTCTAATTAGAAGAAGTCCGGGCTCCTCTGTGCTGACTTCAAGTTGTTTTCTGTATCCCTGACTCTGATAAGAGAGTCTGGTCAGCATCTAACTAGAACAGGATCAATTTAAAAGATACAAGTGAGGAGTAAAAGCACGGAGTGGCAGCTGAAAGAATGATTGAAATGTCCTGCGGAGTTGAGATAAGAGTTGAAAAAGAAATAATGGTAAATATTATGGAGAGCCCTCTCAGCGAAGATCTGCCTTCATTTAGTTAAAGCCTGTGTACGGTCTTTGAGGAATAAATTATATGCTCAAGGGCACATCAGTTAGACCTTAAGTTCTGTCAAATTATTTAGAAGTATAGAAGTGGCAATGCAGAAAAAGTTGTTTTGAAGAAGTATATAGCGAATATAGCTTTGCTTTGCTTTGCTTCTGGGAATCTGGAGTTTCCATTCATCCATTCGGCACATGAAATTCTAAATATACTGATATGTTGTTCATCTTAGTGTCCCTGGATGATTTATAAACCAATGAGCAACTCTGATAAATATGAAGACTTGGAGTTTTGGTACATAATTCCTCAATTATCACATCAATACAACCCATTGTATCTGTAAATTGTCAACGTTTGAGGGACCATGGAAAAACAGCTTCACAACTATTGAGCTCCATGCATTTTTTGAAAGGATTTAAGGATTTTCTAAACTTTGAATCATATTGTCCTAAAGCCAAAATGCAAACATTTTGGCAACGTCTCTTGCATTAGATTAACCAGTTTCATTCAACAGTACCTTCCTTGGGATGAGAGAAGTAACTGGATTGTAATGAGTTGATGTTGGATTGGATTGTGGTTATTTTGATGCTGTGTTGGGCTGCAACGAAAGATTATTTACATGATTGATTTTGATCATAATTTACCAAAGCCCAGGTTGATATATATTCAAATTGCTTTTTACATCTGAGTCAGTCATAAAGAGATTCAGTTTACAGTAACAATATGAGAAAAGACTAAAGAAAACCAACAAAGATTCTTATTGGAGAAGCTGCAACCAGAGTTTTTTTTGGCATTTTTGCTTGAAAAATCACTTTAACAATTATTCCATTATTTAGTAGTTGCTGATTCATTGTTTCAGCTCACAGTCATTTCCTGTTTTTAGGACACATTGCATTGCAAATGATCTTCTGAACTCATTTGACAGTTTTAGCTGAGTGAAGTGGAAAACGCTGCTTTGTCGTCACCTCTCTCCTTCTCTCTAATGCTTCCATCCCACTTTTCTCCTTCCCTTTGCGACTAACTAGTATGCCTTTTCTTTTTGACCCTTCTTGCGGAATCTGCTGCATCACTGAAGACAAACTGTTGCAGTTCAAGTGACAACTATCACCTCCCTCCCCTCCTTTGCAGCCCACACAGGCACTGGCCTCTTCTGCAGCAGAGACAGACAGAGAGGCAGGAAGGGCTTGAAATGCAAATATAGCCTGAGTAGGTGGCAGCCGAGAGCACAGTGTGCAGCAATGTGAGGACTCTCGCAAGCCCCGCCCACAAAAGCCAGTTGCTAAGCAACCACCAGCAAGGGAGAAGGGGGGGAGGAGGAGCCATGAATTCAACAACTGTTGCCTGATCTGAGCTCTCACTGTGTGAATGCAAGTCAGCCGGCGAACCAGTCAGCGAGAGAGGAAAAGTGTGTGAGGGTGTGAGGTCCAGAGTCTGTGCTTGTGTTTGCTTGTGTTCGTGTGTGTTTGTGTGTGTGTGTGTGTGTGTGTGTGTGTGTGTGTGTATGTGTTACAGTGAGATAGAGAGAGAGAGGCAGTCTCTGTCGGTGCAGGAGAAGCCAGGCAGCCGGTGCAGTTTTTTAAAGTGAACGACACATCCTGCTCTGCTCCTCTGCCTCTATTTGGATTATACCACTAACGGGGACTCACCCTTTGGACTATCCTGACTCTTCCTCCTCCTCTTGCCTTTGAAGGGAACACCTGTGTGGTGTGTGTGTGTGTGTGTGTGTGTGTGTGCGTGTGTGTGAGAGAGAGCCAAGACAACGGACTTAGCCCTGGTGAACAGGGCGAGTGGATGACTTCAGTGGATGAGGGTTTGGCTGGTGGAAAGAGGGGGACTGCTGACCATGGACTCCCCTCACTAGTGAACGGGGTAAGCAACCCTAACCAGCTGGAAAATGGGGGTGATGAAAGATTGCTTGACAGAATGGGAACAAAACAGAGAAAAGACTCTATTGAAGACGTGAGTGTTTTGTGAAAGAAAGGAAAACATGAAGAAAGCAGAGATAGTTTATATGTTAAGGGGCGAGACTGGCGAGTTAGAGGGGGGCAGTTAAGCGGCAGTGAAGAGTCCATTGTCCCCCCAGTTTGTGTTTGAATGTGTGTTGGATGCAGTTGACCCTGCCTCTCAGCTACCCTGTCTGTCGTGCTCAGCTGCTGGCGTCTGTGTCATCACACTGTCCTGTCTCCTCTGTCGGCTCTCTTCTCATGCCTGTCTGCTTTCCAGTTTCCCTTCTTGTCATGTTCTCTCTCATTGTCCCTCCCTGCCTGTCACTGGTGGCTCTGTTGCGGTTCAAAATCTCTCTGATGGTAATGGGATTAATTGGAAGCCAGGGTAGCTGGAAGGAGAGGGAGTAACAGAGAGAAGGGAGCGTGATCAAAAGAAGTGTGCACAGGACGGATACAGCATGCCCAGGTATAGATGGGAAAACAAAGATAGAGGAATACCGTAAATGTGAGAACAACGGGTTTGCTGCCTGTCAGGATGGAGGTGAATGATATTTGGCAGTGTAGGTTGTTATGATTAAGGTCTCAGGGTCTTTCATGTCTATTTAACATATTCAAGACCCAATATTCGGTCATTTGAAAGTCGTCTGAAATCGTTATGTTCTGTAAGTTATTCCAGTCTGTTAATTTAGGCTGTAGTTTGGTTAAATGGGAGAACTTTATAGCATATCAATCACAATGTGTTTTGAACCAGGCACACTAAAGATGTAGGTGTACGGTAGACATAATACACACATGACAGGGCTTGGCAATGAAGAACCAGCTGGTATATAAAGGAGTTTAATTTACTACTAGAACTTTTTAGATGCAAAAATATGTTTTTGTTGCAGTGGTATGAGTTTAAAAATAGGTTTTACTGTAATTTAGATAATCTGGAGAAATTTAGACGATCTAAAACATGTGAATACAATGTGCTGCTGACAATACAACTGATAATTGCTGTATTTTTTGTAACTTCAGATATATATTCATTACTCCAATGAAGAAGAGAGAAGCAAGGTGAGCTTTATTTGTGTTGTGGGGCTCTCAATAGAGACGTGTGATGTCAGTCTATATAGTTGTTTTGAATACCCCTGGTCTGTGACTGGACATTACATAATGAGATTTACTCGTCCTCAGCCGAGCAGTAAAGTCTCTGTTGATTGTCTCTGTCCCGGAATGTTCCTGGACTTTTGTTTTCCAATAAAATTATTTTGCTTATGGTTATATTGTTGAATATAGTTTTTTAACTTAATTTGGTTTTCTTTCTTTAAGCAAGATTGACATTCAGCCAATTGTCTTTGATAGTGCACGGTGTGTACACCAGGACTAGAATAAATAGATTAGCATGCAGCACTGAGCTGTACTAGATGAATGGAGGCTAATCTGCAACAATCACTCCTCTCTATGATTCCTTCCATACTATCAATCAATCAGACTTTATTTGTATAGCGCCTTTTGTGCAGACTTTCACACTCTGATACTGAGCAAAACGACAGGATAATCGCTAAACAAAAATGTCTTAACACAATAGACATCACATCGTCACTGAGTTATTGTTCTGTAGTGTCAAAGCCAAATATTGTCTCTGAACTTATACTGAACATCCACAGAAGCTCTCTTGGTGCTTAAATGTTTAAATTAGTTATTGTTTGCATAGCATACAAAATTTAAATCACAAAATTCACATGCAACAGCTGACAAGAGGCAGGCAGGGGCCTGGCCACCTGCTGAGGGTCTGCCACACTGAAATGCCCTCAATTCAACGGACAACAGCAAGAGGGCTGACAAACAGTCCCATAAGAGAAAGACAATGCACTTTGTTAAAGAAAGAGAGTGAGGAGCTTTCTTTTCTTTTCACTGGACATGAGTTTGATGACTCAAAGAGGACAATCAACACGCCAGACACAATACATTTTGGCTGTGAGAGGACGGATTTGAACAGTCAATGAGACAGAGTTGTGAGGCATTGGTGCTGCTACATATGAGTCAGGGTGCTTTTCCTTGAAGATGAATCTAAATTCTCTGTAATAATACTAATGATGATGACTTAACCATGGCGACTTATCCATCCCAAATGTTAATTTAGTGGACTGTAGACCAAATACCAACCTGCAGAGAGTTAGATAATCAATTCATTTTCTGATTTTTTTATTAAAAAAGTCAGTGACCATGAAAAAATTCTCAGGTTACAGCTTTTAAAATGTATAATATAGTTCCTTTTCTGTGTTTTCTATAGTTGTAGATGAAATATCTTTGGGCTTTAAAAGTTTTATTAGAAATCTGAAGGTATCACCTTGGGCTCTGGGAAATTATGAGGGACAGTTTTTTACTTTCCTGATAGGTAAATCAGTAATGAAAAGAATCGCTAGTTGCAGCCCCAGTGGACTGTATTATACTGTCTGTTGTAGGGCTATAAACAAAGCACACACGTGACTTTGGTTTGACTTCTGTGGGTTAAAACCAACTTCCTTGTTTTGATGTGAAACAGTAGCACGATTTGTTCAAATATACTATAAGCAGTTGTCAAACACTTAAAGTTCAGAATAGGTGGTTGACACCCTGACAAATGGAGTAAATGTACTTATAAACACACTCACATGCCTACTTGTGACAGCTTATCTAATTACTCTTCAAAATGATAATGATTTTTATAACACACAAACATTTAGCTTTCTTCTTACGTTCTGGTTTCTGTCTCTCAAGGATTGGTAACACCTCTGTGCAATGGTAAAAGAGTACAACATAGCTCTTTGTTTAAGCATTTGGTACAGATATACCACACACTGACACACATACTTTGAACATGTAGAGTATTGACTGAAAGAGGATACAAAAATTGGTTTGCATGCAGCTTTGTGATCTACAACAATTTATAGAGCTAAATTGTCTTGTCGTGTTCTCTGGGATTCTCTCTTAATTGTAATTAAAAATGCAGTACACTCATCACACTCAATCTATGTAATATGACACTTTATCACTCTTAATTAAGGGGTGCATTTCAAGTTCTTCTTGTTTAACGGGCCTACTGTATATACACGCCCACACACAGGTATGCAAACGTTTGGACTGGAACACTTGTGAGAATCGTGTCTCACAGCATTCATTTATCAACCGCTAACATTTCACTGTCACAACTACCTGGTTTTAACCCTAAACCTAATCTGATTGTTAATCTTCACCTTGAAATACCCACTTGATAAAGTTGGGACTATCCCAAAATAAAGTCACTCTGAAGTACTTTCCTTATCTTTCTGCTTTTCAAGAGCGTTTTCTCCTCATTCAAGTAGATACAGAAATACAACAGAAAACACAGGCGTGCATATTGTTTCACCTTCTGTGCATATATAAGCTTGGTTTCATTGATAATTCATCCACACAGTCTCCAGTGTGCTGCTTCAGTCCCTCCCTGCATTGTCCTTTGTCCAGCACAACATTCCTGGTAATCCAAGCAGCTACCTGTTTCAATTGAGACTCAGGTGGAAACAAGTGTGTCTGTGTGTGTGTTTTATAGATGTGTAGTCAGATGTGTATCAAGCTGCTCTAAAAGCCCCAGTGTTGATCTTTTACTTACAGTTTTGACGTAAAGATTAATGAGCAGGGAGGAATAGAGGTTTTATTTAAAAGTTCCCAAAATGGGGAGTCTCAGGTGTTTTTGTACAGTATTTCAGTTGGGCGAGTGTGTGTCTCATTTGCTGGAACCAAAGATTCTCACAGTCTTGACTTAATGAAATGTTCATGAAATATGAGTCATTTCTTCCGCTTGGAGCTATGTGTGACTGTGTGTGAGTGTACATGCGTAGGAAGAGTATTGCTTACTGTAGCAGCTGAATAATGCAGACATGCAGGCAGATACATGCACATACACACAATCTGAGAGTGTTTATGCTTCTCTGTCATGGAATATTGCAAAAGTGGTATTGTAACGATAATGTAGGTGTGAATATGATCATGAGTCAACAAATGAAGTCTATTTTTCTATATTTTTATTATAGGTAAATCTGAATTCTCCATTACTTTGCCTTTAGTCTATAGAATTTCAGAAAAAATGTCAATCACAATTTTCCAGAGCCTAAGGTGATATCTTCAAACAACGGTTCAAAAATTAAACATATTAAATTTAATATCATATACAATAAATAAAAGCAGCAGATCCCTACATTTGAGAAGCTTGAACCAGCAAATGTTTGGCGTTTTAGATCAAGTGACTAATCGTTTCAGCTTTTGTGTACACATGTGAAGTAGAATATGCTTTTTAGGTTCAGTAAAGCCTCTTATGCCCTCCTGTCTCAGAGCTTCGTGTTACCCACTGGTGGGATCTGAGGCTCAGAATGACAGAAGGACCCACTGGTAACAGAGTCAAAATGCTGAATATCAAAGCAGAAGCATTAAACGATTCACTTTATATGTGAATATTTCTGTGATGGCAGCACTCAAGGAGCTCAGGGCTCAGAAGAATGGGGAGAAAGAAAGTAAGAGAGGATGAAATGAACAAAGGGGGAGAGAGATGTAAAGCCTCTGCAGAGAAACACCTCGTATCTCTGGAGCTCAGTCTGACAAACACAAGCAAGAGACTGCTGTTCTGTCTCTGCTGCCCTTCTCTTTCTTACTCCTTCTTCTGCCCCCCTCCCCCCCGATCCATCCTCTCTATATTTCCCCTTTTCAAGTTGTCCCCCACTCTTCTGCTTATCCTCTAGTCCCTTTGCTGCTGAATCACACTTAAAAGCTTCATCAGTTCAGATCGATCCAGCCAATGTCAGTTCATGTGTCCACCTCTGTCTTTTGCAACACTTGTTTTGCTTGACTGTACAGCAACAAGAGGGTTACTACCCAACTAGTTACAAACAGGCAAACATGAACAACACCTTTTTAAACCCTGTAAGCTCT